CTTGGGAAGGTATAAAGCATCTACCTTTTTGGTTCTCTCTCCGTAGGTCTAGAAATTATGGCATTTCTTGGCTCATTTATCGAGTTGGGTTGGTTAGATGAGTTAACTTTTGCAACTTTATACATTACCTTGGTCCTTATATCTTAAGGATCTGAAGTTTGTTTGTGTATTGAGATCCATGCATGAGATATTGGTCTTAGTGCCCCATTCTGACCTAGTTTGAGATTTAGACTTGCATTGCACATGCATGTTTGTAAAGCTACGATTTTTATGTTGGAATAGAAGTAATAAAGCCTTTTGGAAAGTATAAATGGGTGGCTTGAAGGATTAAGAGCTTAACCCATTTGTAACATCCGAGATTAATAAGGTACTAATTATATTATTATTAGCTCAATAAATGAAATTGGTTTGGGCTTGTTCCATTGGATCCTTATGATTGGGCTGAGAAATGTCGTACGCGGGGCGTACTATGCCAAGTATGCGTAGCATACTCATGAGATGAAGACGTGCATGCCATGCACGTATGCCCAACGTACCAAAGGGTACACGCAGTGTACGTATGCAGACTCTAATAGGGTTTGATCCCTATATAAAGGACCTTATGCCTTTGGTCCAGCCTCCCTCTCACCTTTAGATAGCTACCACGAAAATCCTAACCCATATTTGTCTGTTCTCGTGATTTGGTAGCCACTTGAAGCATTTTAGTGTTGTTTTGGTTTTTTGGAAGAGAAAGAAGTTTGAAGAAGGAGCACAGATTCAAAGGGAGCTTGTAGATCCAGGAGATTAGCATCATTTCAGACTCATTTGAGGTATCAAGCTTCAAACTTGATCATTGTATGCTTAGATTTGATTTTGGGGTGTTTTATGTAACTTTTGGACTCCATTGTTGAGGTTTCTTGAATCTTGATAGTTTCAGACCATAAGAGTTGTCCTTTTGAACTCTTAGAAGCACTTAGAATCATAAAAATTAAACCTTGATGGTTAAGCCACAACCATGCAAGTGTTTGATGGTCACAAAGTGTGGTTAAGGACCAAAATCATGTTTTGACCCCCAACCATGCATGCAAGCACATAAAGTTTGTGACTAAATGGACTAGGATGTCTTAAAGGACATGGATCTACATTATGGATGTGAGGACTTAATGGATTAAGTCATAAATGGAGCCCCAAGGAAGCTGGTCGGTATGCTGGACATACACCCTAGTACGCTGCGCGTATTGGGTCAACTTCTCGCCCTTGGTCAACGCCAGAGTATGTTGGGCGTACATGCCAGGTACGCTGCGTGTACGCATGGAGAGTGGCGAACTTAGGATTTTAGGCCTTAGAAGTTTGGGGCTGCATAGTTGGGCCCCATGGCCCACTGTGGAGTAGAGTCTCTGCGGCTAGAATTAGGATTTAAAGTATTGGGCCTTTTGAGCCATATTGGGCCACTCGAAATTATTTGTTTTAGGCTAAGGATTTATTGGGCTTGTGATAAGGCCTATTTGAGGAGTTGGGCCCAATTTAGAAAATTGGGCCATTAGTGGGCCTTTAGTGGGCTGGGAAAGATAAAATGGAATTAGGCCTTGGGTATGGTCCAAATTAGACCAAGGGGTAAAATGGTCATTTTACCCTAAGAAGTATTGTCGATTTTTACTAAGGGCCTGTTTGATAAGTAACTGATTGGGTCCGGTCAGCTATTTTGGCTGACTCGGTTTGGTCGGTTCGTTTGATAAAGGGCTAAAAACGTCTGACCCAGTCCAATGCTCTTACTCGGTCATCTAAAATCGTCTGATTCGGTCCTTCATAAAAAAGAGCATGACTATAAAGTTTCTCTATTTTTCCCTTAAGCTATGAACGCCCCTCATCGTCAACAACAGAATGCTCTCTTCCTCCATCGACCCTTCCTAGCCTGCAACCACCTTCCTTCGTCGTCTCCTTTCGTGGGCGTTCTCTTCTTCCTTTAATTTTTGCAGGTAACATATTTATTCTTCAATCAATTTCTTATTCCTTTAACTTTTGCAGTAGAGAGACGATGTTTTTCAGGAGAGAGACGATTGATCGATTGGGAGAAAGATAGAGAAGGAGAACGTGTTTGCTTCTATTTTTCTACTATGTCGTGAGTTTTTTGTATTGCATAATATCTCTATCGATTTATGTACATAGTGTGATGCGTTTAACACACTTGTTTATTTTTGCTTTGTTTCAAGTGCCACATTAATGGAAGAGATAAGAAAATTGGTTTGACTCTTTGAATTTTCAACAGAGGGAGATATTTACAAGTATAAGAATGAGATTGAAGAAAAGCCAAAGTTACGAATCCTTCTTGTAAGTTCATTCCTTTGCTTTTTAAATTCACAAAATCACATCATATGTAAGAAAATATAGAGATTTTGTGTTATGATTAAATAAATCTTGGTATTATGATTAAATAAATCTTGTATCTTGTTTCAATATGTTATGTTATTTGAACTTGTTCAAGAGATTAAACATTCACAGTTTTCATGATATATATATATATATATATATATATATATATATATATATATATATATATATATATATATATATATATATATATATATATATCTCAAGTGGTGCCATTTGAAATTTGAAGTAGGAGAACCTTATGAACGCATAAATGATCTTGCTGTTTTTTATATTAATATATGTTGTGATTCTTGTTACAAATATTTTTTTATTATTGATTTTAAACTCTTTTTTTTTCAGGGAGAGGATTCGAGGATGATTCAAATAATGAAGTATTGAATTAAAAGTCAAAGTTGGTGTTACAAATTGCTTTGTAATTCAATTGAAACAAGCAATTCATGTTTTTTTTTATTATGTTCTCTTTGCAAATATGTATGAATCATCAAAGTTCATTTCCTTTTCTTTTAATTATTAGTTGGTTCGATCAAAGTTCACTGTTTTTTCTATAATCAATAATAAAATTCATTGTTATTTTTGGTGTTATATAAAGTTTTCCATCAAGGGGTAATATGGTTATTTTTTTTTATCATTCATCACAAACAGTTAGAGATATAATCAAACAGTATGGTTTCAGTCAGATGTAGACTCAGTCAGAAATTCTAACTCAGTCAACATTAACTCAATCAGCACTAACTCGGTCAGCAACTATCAAACGACCCCTAAGTGTTGTTATGATAATGATAGTCGGGGAGTCATCAGAGCAACTGTTAGAGATTCCTTTCCATGATATTTGACACCCAGCTTTGCGAGGCGAGTTACCTTCCTATAGGAGTGGGTCGAAGATACCAATGCTGGCCTACTAGTAGTTGTTTATGGTAGGGATGATAGTCTTCGTGATAATTGTGTGGTATGTCATTGTCTGTTATGATTTATGTGTTATTGATATGCTATTATGTGGTAGTGGTAGGGTGAAATAGTCCCCATAACCGGTAGAAATAAACCGGAGGGTAGGTCGGACACTAAAATATGTCTGGTAGGGTAGGTCGAGCACTCAGATATGCCTGGCAAGGTGGGTTGAGCACCCATATATGCTTGACAGGGTAGGTCGGGCACCCATATATGCCTGATAGGGTAGGCTGGGCACCCATATATGTCTGACAATATGTGTTTATGTGGTATAATAAGGGAACTCACTAAGCTTCGTGCTTATGTTATATTGTTTTGGTTTCAGTTACCTCTTCTTCGAAGGGAAAGGAGCCAGCATGATTGCAGCGCATCACACACTCAATTTTCCGCACATGAGAGTCTTGGGATCTGTACTCTGACATTATTTTCCTATTATATGTTTTTGAGAGATATTGACATATGGTTTTTCATGATATGAGATAACATTGGTGACATTTTCAGTAATCTGTTTTATGAATCTTTAAATTAAAAATTGAAAATTTTGGTCTTGAATTTTGGGGTGTTACACCATTAAGCCGTGAGAGTTCAACTTTCACAACGTGGCAATCTGCTTTCCACGACGTGACGACTGGTGCCACCACGAATGTTTTGTCGTGAAGATGCCATGACGTGACCAATGAGTGGTCACGACGTGGGAGTCATCTAGTGGTTGACTTTGGCCTTTGACTAGTTTGACTTTTGCTCAAACTTCGAGGGGTGTTAAGCTATAGTATGAGGTTTAGCTTATGTATGGTTTAGGAGGTTTGTGTAGCTGATTCTGTGGGACTTTGAGTAGTGGATTTCAGCTCTTCATTCAGGTGAGTCTCCTCACTATACTTGCATGTGTGGTATTATATACATGTTGACCAACTGGGTCTTATATGTTGTTTGTTGTTATATATGTTACAAAGTTGTTGATAACTCCAGGGCATGCTATTACGACATTGGGAATGCTAATAGTCCCCAGGGTTACTGATAAACCACAAGGCATACTGTTAGCTCACTGGGACTGCTGAAAGTCCACAGGGTTGCTGATAACCCATAGGATGTGCTATTAGCCCATTGAACGTGTTGTTAATCCACTAGGTGTGTTGTTAGTCCAATGGGATTACTGATAATCCACAAAATTGCTGATAATTCATAACTGTTTATTTATGTTGTATTGTATGTGATATTTTGGGGAACTCACTAAGCTTTATGCTTACAGTTGTGGATTAAATGTTTTTTCAGGTACTTATCAGATTACGAAGGAAGGATTGTATACATGCATCAACAGTTTTATGATTCTAGATTCCATATCGTCTTCCTTATAACTCTAATTTTTAATTATGGATTACGAATAATTGGTTTGACTTGAATGTAACTTTAATAAAAAGAGTGTTTATTCTATTTATAAAAAAATGAAAAAATATATTATGGAATTTGGGAAATTACACTTTTTTCTGGATGGATGACCGACTTGCGTATGGATCTCTCAAAATAATCTCTACTGTTTGGAAAAGAAAAAAGATACAGGGTAGAGGATAAAATAAAAATTGGCGGACCAATTTGGGATTAGGCCTCGCATCCCACCTCGATTGATCAAAAAAGAGAATTATTGGAACTATCATCCTCAGTGGGGTCACTGCAGCCAGTATGTAGACCAGATGAATGAAGCTACAACATGTTATGGAATGGTATGTATCATGTGGACTCTTTGGCCTTGTTTGTTTTTCTACAAAAGTACTTTTTGAACACTTTTCCCTTCTGGCGGGTAGACGTTTCGCAAGTGCACGTCTTCTTCTGCAAACTTGGAAAAGACAAAAGACATTTAACCACTTCCAAAACAAACAACACCTTTGCGTCACATAATTGAGTGACCTTATATCTCGCTATTTGGAGTCAAAATTGATTGGATCCATGAAGTTCTCATAAAAGTCTTGTGTTTTGTATGGTGACCAAATTTGGGCCGATTTCCTACAACTTAATTAATGAAAAGTGGAATGACCATGATTTCGAGTTTATGCGGATACAACAAGGTAAGTGATGAAAGCCCAAATCATATATTAACTAGGTGCTCCGTCAATGTTGTATGGGAATGGATTTAGAGATGGTGCAATTTATCAAAGGGATAATGATTTGAAAGGGTAACGAACTTTCGACTTTTGTCACATTTAGTCACTAAACTTTTTTTCGTTATCTATTTGCCATTGAACTATTGAAACTGTTCACATTTTACCCTTATGACCGGCTGTTACCGGTCATAAGGGTAAAATGTGAATAGTTTCAATAATTTAGTGGCAAATAGATAACGAAAAAAAGTTTAGTGACTAAATGTGAACAAAATCGAAAGTTCGTTTCCTTCTAAAAAGTTCAATGACTAAATGTGAACAAACTTCCTATTGTATTATGTTTTAGCAAAATTATTTATTTTTGTTTAATTGTAGTAACATTTGTTGATGAAGAAATCTATGAGTTAAGAAGAGAGACTCGACGAGTTGACGCCTCAACTCGTCGAGTAAGGTAGCGACTGATGACTCGGATTAATGAATGGACTTGTCGAGTCGGTGAGGTGATTCGACGAGTCCGCACTGTTGGCAGAAACCCTAAATCTTTGGGCCCGAGCCATATTTAAAGGAACTTATGACCTTCAATTGCGACTACTTTTCCCATAAGTGAGAACCCTAGCGAGCTTGAGTGTGTAGAGTAAGAAGAAGAACTATCTTGAGCTTTTTGGTGTGATAGATCTGGACCCTTCTAGGTCCAGAGAGACGAGAATATGAAGCTTTAGTAGAGTAAACATTGGGGTTCGAAGTTAGGAAGCATAACCTTAACCAACAATGTGATGAAATAAAATGATGAGAGATAGGTGATGATAGAAAGGTGATGATAATTAGGTAAATAGATGATGGTGAATATGTAGTGTAGGATGAAAGGAGATACCATAACCTTAACCAGCAATGTGGCGATGTAGTCATCTACCGGAGTATAGATGGCGACCACAGACTATTCTAGACAACCCAGTGGAAACACCAGCAAGCTCATAACTTGTAGGTGATGAATTACGATGTCAGGCGATACTGTAACTACATATTCATCCGATGATACTCTAACCCCTTACTATGAATTACGAGTTCAGACGATGTTGTAACTACATATTCATGGGATGTCACAAATTTCGCATGCCAAACCAATGGTCATAATTCACATCAGTGAGAACGGTTCATTTTTTTGTAAAACCAAAATCAGATTGAAAATTTTAATTTTTTATTTTGGAAAATGTCAAACCATTGGTTTTTTATTTCGGTTTTGTTTTTTTGGTTTTTTTTAAATATATTTTCAGGGTTTTTTTTTTTAATTTTTTTATTTCATAGATTTGTTCATCAACAAATGTTGCTACAATTTAACAAAAATAAATAATTTGCTAAAACATAACACGAAAGGAAGCTTGTTCACATTTAGTCATTGAACTTTTTAGAGGGAAACGAACTTTCGATTTTGTTCATATTTAGTCACTAAACTTTTTTTCGTTATCTATTTGCCATTGAACTATTAAAACTGTTTACATTTTACCCTTATGACCGGCAACAGCCGGTCATAAGGGTAAAATGTGAACAGTTTCAATAGTTCAATGGCAAATAGATAACGAAAAAAAGTTTAGTGACTAAATGTGACAAAAATCAAAAGTTCGTTACCCTTTCAAGTCATTATCCCTTTATCAAATATACAATGTAGCTTAGAGACACATCATCAACTATACAACAAACTAGGGGGACTGCCCAAAAAAGAGAAATGTTTTGATGAAGTATATGCTATGGCACCATGTGGCGGATTTGGAATGAGAGACTGATTATAAATATGGGTATTCCTCCAACAAAGGTTGTGGATAACATTCAGTCGATGATATACGTTTGGGTTAAACACAGGATCCCCAATTATATACTTAATTGGCTTTATTGGTGTGTACAACCCTTTAACTGAGATGGTTGTAGCTGTTGATATTTGTTGTTTCTTTTCTCTTTCATCTTGTATGTTAGCTCCCTCTGCTCTTCCAGCTACGTTTAATTTGTTTTAGTTCTATATAATATTTGCCGGTTCCTTAGAAAAAATAATAAAATATAACTTTTTTCGATAAACATAATATTAAAACTATTCTAATAATAACTTAAAAAATAAATTATTCCTTGTTAAAAACATTTTGCGGCTTGTAGTTATGCCCGTCGTCTGTTAACCTCCCGCGCTGAATTACACACGCCGTAATAATCATATCCAACGCTTATTCCCCGCCTCCGTTTCTCCTTCACCTATTCTCACTCGCTACTCTCATACTTCCACACACACTTAACCCCTTCCAAAATCCAAATCAACAGCTTCATGTCATAACTCATAACAACCTTCTCCTTTCTCTTCATCTCTGAAACAAATCGCCAACTGCATCCTACTCGATTTGTTTGCCATTTCTAGTTCGTTAACTTCACATCGGTATGTATTATGTATACCCCTTTCTACTTTATTTAACTGTAATTACATTTACAGATACACAAATCATGGTCTACGGTTTATTTCCACTCTAATATTACCATCGGTGTTTAGTTTTTCATCAGATTAGGGAAAATTATGCGATCTAGCTAGTGAAACGTACGAGCAATTTGAATTTTGATGGATGTTATGTATGTCGTTAGTTTCGGTGCCTTGATTTAGATTTATATGTTAACCCTAGGACTTTTAGTATTTTTTTACACCAGTTTTCTATCGTTTTTCTTTAAAGTAGTTTCGTACATTTGATTGTTGAAAATGGAAGCAGTCTGTTTGATTTGATATTCACGAATTCTTATGTCTGGCTTTTATAATGATAAAAATTGAAGATATGATCCTTTTGTCATACAATTTCTGGTACTTTTGCAATGATTTGATGATAAAATGTATCTTGAAGTTGAACCACAGTAATAATGGTGACAACTACAATAGCATCTTTGGGGACAAGTACTTGTGGCTCAATGGAATTGGCTGCATCTTCATTTACTCCCAAGTATTTGAGTTCCAAGTTGCAGCATAAAGAGCCTCATTGGTTTGGATTTTCATGGAAGAAAAAACATAATTTACATGCTTCAAGTCGCTCATTAAGGATGATTTCAAATGGGTATTCTGGGAGAGGTGTTTACAGGGTGAAAAAGGATAAAGATGATGATAAGATATATAGGAGGCTTGATTCTTGTTTAGTTATTCCTCCACCAAAAGGAAAGAAGCCTAAAGCAATCATTAAATTTCTTGGTGGTGCTTTTATTGGAGCAGTTCCGGAAGTTACTTATAGGTGAGTTGTTAAAATTTCATTAATTTTCTTTAATTTTTAATTATGGGTCAATTTTTATACCCCTAAAAAGAATTGGTTTATCTAAAAAAATATGATGTTTATATGCAGCTATCTTTTAGGGTTATTGGCGAATGAAGGTTATCTTATTATATCTGTGCCATATAATGTGACTTTTGATCACTCAAAAGCTGCTACAGAAGTTTATGACAAGTTTCATTTGTGTTTGGATTCGATTTTAACATCTGGATTGCCTAATGATGACGTGTCATCAGCTCAACTTGTTGATCTTCCTCTTTATTCTGTTGGTCATAGGTGCGTGTATTTAGTTTTATTCTACTACCTTTTTACTGTTTTATTTTGGGTAAAAAAAAATTATTTTTTTATGATTATTAATTTATTATGATAATATGCAGCAATGGAGCCCTCCTCCAAGTACTCTCTGGAAGCTATTTCTCTGAGAGGATACCAAAGGTTGGTTTCAATTTTCATTCCTTCTCTGTTCATCATAAGTGATCTAGTTTAAAATGACCATTATGCCCTTTATTTAAAAAACTAATCTGTTTTCCATTTTCTTTCCAAAGGCTAATGCCATAATATCATACAACAACAGGCCAGCAACCGAGGCAGTACCTTACTTCGAGCAGGTAATTTTCATTGATGCCACGTGGTGCTGACGTGGCACGTTTTAAGACTTAATTTTTAATTTTTTTGTGTTTTCAGTTGGGCCCTCTGGTAAGCCAATTGATGCCTGTTGTGGAAGCATCCCCTGTATCTTCCATGGCTAAGGGCGCTGCAGGTATTTTTTTTTTTATATTTGTTTATACTATTTTGGTAATCATATTTGGTTATAACTTATAAATAATTATAAATCTTTGTTTCTAATTTTGTTATGTTTTTTTTTTTTTTTTTTTTTTTTTTGGGAGATGCGTGGAGAGTGTTCCTTGATACAGCGGAATCAATGGCGCCTGATTATGATCCGGAAGCTAGGGTTTCATTAAACAAATTTGTTGATCAATTGCCATCGGTTTTTAATCAGGTATTCTTCTTGCTAATTGGGTTAAATCCTGAAGCTAGATTTTTTTTTTTTTTTTTTTTTTTTTTTTTTTTTTTTTAATTCTATTTTTTTCAGGTTGCTCAAGGAATCTCAGAATTCAAGCCAACACCTAGTGAGAATCGCGAGTGTTGCAAAAACTCTTATAATATCCGGAAAACACTCCTCGTAATTTTATCCCTCTTAAAAGAAACATTCTTTTTTTCTGTTATTTACATATATAATAATAATAATAATAATAATAATAATAATAATAATAATAATAATCCATGGTTTTTGAATTTTAGGTGAAGTTCAATTCTGATGCGATTGATGAGACTGATCTTCTTGAGGAGACTTTGAGGCCTCGTGTGGAAGCAATTGGTGGAACACTGGATAAAATCTCATTAAATGGTAACCATATCACACCATGCATCCAGGTTAGCTTATTTTCACTTTTGGTCCCTGAGTATATCTGATTCTTTCAATTTTGGGTCCCATTAACAATTATTTTATTTGCGATTTTTTGAGAGTATTGTAGGAACCAAAATTGCAAGTAGGTGATGTATATACTCCAGCAGACGCAATTGCACAAGTGCTCAAGACTCTTTCACTAAACGAGACCAAAGTTCTTGCTACAACCATCTCAGATTGGTTCTCAAGCATCGATGAATAATTTGAAATTCACTATATTAAATTGTATATATTACTAAAGAAATATTATACCTTTTTGGGTGGGATAAAAAACTATAATTTTTTTTTTGTCCCATTAGCATTAATCAGTTCAATGTATGACAAACGCAGTAAAAACTATTAACCATAGATTTGTATTTAATTAAACATATAACATCATTTACAAAAACAGAAGGTTTCTAAGATTACTCGCAATCAAGGGGTGTTGATGTAACGGATCTTCTATTGGATTCCTCGCTTAAAAATATAACATGAGAATCCTCTTCTGTTTTTAATAAATTCATCTTCCCTTCTATGTTATCCATTTTATCAATTAATGTGTGGCTTGAAGCCTTTGTATTTGAACTAGGTATAGAAATAGTTTCCTCCCTATTTGTTCCATTTGAGGAATCGGGATTGCTTAACATGTCTTCTTGAGAGACGTCTCCTATTCTTGTTAGAATACTAAATGCCAAGTTTCCAAGAACACGAGAATAAGCTTCTAAAATCGCATGTGCAACATCCTGAAATAAGGCTACATTAGCAACTAACTTTTTCCGTCTTTTATTGTAAGGCTTATACTGTGTTTGACATGCATTGGACTGATGTTATTGGAACAAACATTGTAATATTTTGAGAAGTTTACTAACCTTTCCGTATTGGATTTTCATGACATCGAGAAACTTTTGTGGAAGGTTGGGAAATCTGATCTTGATTTCACGTGAAAGATTTTCGGCTCGGTTTATTAACAACTCTATTTTATCAAGTTCTGAAACAGGATCCTTAAATGACCATGATGATGTTCTTGCTGGAGATTTACCACTGTCATGTTCCCCGACTTTCTCTTTCCATGCATGTATTGCTGCTTCTAATCTGTTAATGGCATCAAGAGCACTGTTTTCTGATTTTAAATTCAGTGAGTTGATCGTATCGGAAGATGATGAGGAGACTCTGTTTAGGACCCTATAAAGATCCTCACCAAGGCTTGCCTTTCCTGACTGTAACAAGAGAAAAAAATAAATTCATTAGCATATAGGCATATACATAACACATCATACATCCCGATAGATACTTGAAAATGCCACAACACAGGACAAGTTGTACTGTATTTGGTGTGCATTGGACTAGGACTAATATTGATAAAACAAAAATAACAATTTTTTTGTATCACTCGAAAAGATGGAACACAGACTCTCCCTCGATTTCTCGTTTGTGCAAGAAGATGTAAATGCCCTTTTCATCTTCATTATTGAAAATAGCCATAGAAAGCATGTCAAGGCTGAGTCCAGTCCAATCCGTCATGTCATCTCCCGTGACACGGGAGATGACTAGACAGGTTGGGACCGGACTGGGACCGGACACTGGTCAAGCTTTCTAGGGTTATTTTCGATGATGAAGATGAAAAGGGCATTTACGTCTTTTTGCATAAACGAGAAATTGAGGGAGAGTCTGTGTTCCATCTTTTCGAGTGATACAAAAAAAATTGTTATTTTTGTCCCATCAACATCAGTCTTAGTCCAATGTACACCAAACACAACACATCCTGTTCTGTCATATCATGTCATGCAAACATATTAGATAAATGATGTATTAATAGTGGCAATATATTAAAATAACATATTATGGAAGGAGAAAGAAGGAACGATGGATTACCTTAGGAAGTGCATCTCCGATGATGGAAGGAATCGGCATTTCAAGCAGGACAGTTTCATTAATTGATTTGGCAGCCTTGAAAATTTGATTGACCAATTTACCCTTATTTAGCAATCTCTTCCTTTCATCATTAGAAAGGCCACCAATGGGCACTTGTGGCATAGGAAGCCACCATCTTTTGCTTTGCTTAACATTCCTATCTCTTCCTTCGGCTCTACTACCACCTTCTTCATACCAAAATTCCGTCTCAGTCATTGAATCCAATGTTTCCTATAAACACACAATTACTTTAGACAAACATTGGCTTTCTTATTAAGACATTCTCTACCTTATAAAAATCTAACCAATTATAACATCATAGTTAAAAAATTCCAATTATAGCATTATACTTTCATGTTGTTGTAATAATCATAAACCAATCAATGAAAGTACATTGCTATTTCATGCATAAGAGATCACCTACAATAAGCATGGAGTCTAACTTCCGTAGAGCTGGGAGATTCAGATGAACATCTCCACGAGCTTTTGGCGTCATTATCTGCGAAATAAAATCCAATTTTTATAAATTATAAATAGAAAGTATAAATGAAATTAAACATAAAGGAATGGAAAAAAAAAAAAAGATGCCTCTAATGTTCTTCCATCTACACCACATTGCTTAGCTGGAATCAACTCAACCATATAATTAGTTGGAGAAAGCAACCAATCCATCTCTCTTCTCCACTTATTCTTTTTCTCCTCAGCCAATGGCTCAAGTTTCCATAGCTCTCCAAAAACAGTTCCTAAAAGTAACAAAGTAAGATACTATAAATCTATAATCTATAATAATTAATAAACAAATAAATAAAAGAACAATGCTATTTTTTACATAAAACCCGATGTATTAACATACCAGCTAGATGTGTTATGGCATTGGACAAAGCCAAAGCAGGGGAAACACCATTCCTTCCTCCTGTAGCATCTTCACCTAACAAAAGCTTTCCAAATTTTTCTTTCATGACTTCCATGTCTGAGTATTGAACTGTGTATGAAGGACTCATATATTGTTGTGGGCTCTCTGAGTAGTCCCATTCATCCAATTCGTGTTGTTCTCTTTTCATGATACTCCATTGAGAAAAGAATGATCCGGAAGGGTTGTTGCTTGAACAACAACTTGATATATCTTCTTCTGGTGACTCGGTTGGGGATCTGTGTAGTTTATTTGTAATACTTTCGTCTTCGTATGAGTTGGCATTTAAAATGCAGTTCTCAAGCCCATTGTATGTCGTAATTCCTAAAGTTTTGAACAGGTATCAGCTAGTTTTTACCAAACATTATTATTTTATTAGATATTAGCTTATAAAAAAAAATTAGATTCTCAGCTGATGTGTCTAACATAACCTGATTTATAAATATATTGTTGTCTATTACAATATTTACAACAAGGTACAAGTATAAAAGAATATTTTACAAATTAATAAATATCTTGCTATTATAGAAGTACTTAAAATGCAACGAATTTATTTATTTATTTATTTTTTATTGTCAAAATTCAAAGCTCTAAATGAAGTGGGATTGTTTACCCAATTGATTAGTTATGCTTAACCAAACATCGATATAAATTTAATTTGTTACACAAACGAGTAGAAAACGTATAATTATATTATATGAATAATTCATTAACCTTTTAATAAAATAAACTTTGTGAACAAAAAATTATTCAATTAATAATAGGTAAATAAATGGTTTTAGCTGTTTTAACATTCTCAACAAAGCAAGTTGCAATTAAATAAAAAAATGTTAAAAAGTTGTACATACTACATATGTGGGATTGAAATATGGCTTTTAAGTTAACACTGAGTTTATTTCCTTACGATATATTATAAAAATTTCTGTAATATTAAAAGCTATTTATAACACGAGATATAATAATATCGAATAATAATAATAAAAAAAATGTCCCTACCATGATTTAATGCATGGGTTTGTGCGTTTGGTAATTGGTACTACCAAGTCACACAATATACCGTAACGCAATTAAAGGCCATTAAATTCAAATTCATAGACACGAAACCTGCCATTTTTCGTGGATTTTGTCATGGGTAGATCTGACATTTCACTATCACTTTTATGTTTCTTTATATTTTTTGCTTTTTCTCCCAATAGCTACCTTTCTTTTTCTGGGGCAACTTTTTTATTTTGTCCTCTCAGCAGTCAGCAAGAGTGCTCCGAGTCATACTCAATTTAATTATTTTTTGAATAAAAGATCATTTTAATAATTTTTACGTTCGTTATTTTGAATTTGGAATTTTAATTTTCAAAGGCCCACAATAAAAGGGTACACAAACTTAAATACGGGTAAAAAGTACGGGTTGACCATTCCCAAATCACACTAGATAAAAAACATATGTTTTTTTTTTAATGTTTTATAGTTATATGTTTAATCAGATTATATAACTTCAGATTTAAGTTTCTTATGAGTATACTGTAATAAATTAATTTGATTTGAAATTTTTTGGAATGATATTTAAAGTTTATGTAGATTTTCGTGTAAACTTAAACAACAATAGAAATTCAAAAGAGAAGGAAACGAGCATACTTTCCGGTGGTTGATCAAAATCGATGCTATTGCTGATTCCCCTTTTCCATGTACAGCAATTCAACCTCCTCTTCAATAAAACCATCCTTAATTTAATGTGGTTGAGCTTAGAAGACGATGCTCTGTAGAATGAACAGAAACATCATGACTTTTTGGATATGATATTCGTCTGCAATTCTGATATCAACTGCAGTATCTGTTTCATCAGATTCGTTAATTCGATTTCTTCTTTGTTGCAGTTTTAGGTATCTTAACATGATTTCCATATGATGTAGGAAAAATGTTCTAAAGTGAAAATCAAATGATACATCTCTGAAATAGTTGAAAATATATGTAATTAATGTCAATAAATTGTAGTAAACTCTTTTAAAGTTATACTTGACTATAGTTTTGTTATTTAATCATTTAATGCATGAACAACGGTTTACGCTCTCCTTGATGATAATCAATTAATCATCGTCATTTTCCATTTCGTAACTGAAATCATGATGAAAAAGCGAGCAGAGCTAGAAGTAATGAAGAACATATGATGAAGCGAATCAGGAAAAATACAATCGAAATAAGTTTCATCATGAAAAACTCGAAGAAGTAATGAAAAATGTTGACGCGTTAGAGAGATAGATTGTATGTGTTCATCGAAAGAAATTACATACATAGTTGAAGAATTCAGTAACCAGATCGAGAAGAACATCAAATTCCCCCAAATTACCAAAAAAATCTACCGATTTCCGATGAAATGACTCCAATTCTAACAAAATTCAAATAAAACAGAGAAAAAACATACCTGTATGATTTCCGAACTGATTTCTCGTTAGTTTCGCATTCACACACTACCTAGCTAAAATGGCGACATAACATCGTTCATACCTCGAATCTGCATCGCCATTGATGGAGAATGTGTATGTGAAATGACGAGAATTGAGGGGAAAGAAGTCAAAATTAGTAGGTAACAGCAGAGACGATGAATTGAATTGAATTTCAATTCTTTCTTACAGTGTTACTGTGTGTCAGTACGTGGGTCATGGAGTGATTTCGTTGAATGATAATTCGGGTTTGGATCCATTGGAATGATTCGTGGGTTTATTCACTTTATAAATCTGGATCGATGGTCCCGGACCTTTTCAAATTTCAATACATTCCTTTATTTACTTCATTGGACAAGGGAAAAGTAATAATAATAATAATAAATTCTATTATTATAAGGTGTAAAAGTTGAACATTTGAAAAAAATGTCAATGACAGTGTAAATTGTTATTTATTTAATTAAGATGTCAACCTTCTATAGAATGACAATGTAGATTGTAATTTGTTTTATTTAAATCAAATCATTTTCCTATATAAAATGACAATATAGATTTTAATGTGTAATAAGTTTCGTACTTATGCATTATAAAGTAATAAACTTATGAAATGACGCACTTGTTTATTTATCTTACATAAGTTAACTTTTTTTACACACACAAAGTAATTTTAGCTGTAAAAATAATGTTATCTGAATCATATATTATCTTTTTAATTTGTTGACCGATTTACTCAGTAAATTTTATTTATATAGCATCGCTATTATATAAATTCAAAACGTTTTATTCCAATTTAGAATATTTATATGATAATATGGTTTATATATTATTATTTAACCTTTGTTAGAAAAATGTTGAATAAATTAACAATTATGGTTTATCTATTGTACGTGGCTTGACTTTTATATATATATATATATATATATATATATATATATATATATATATATATATATATATATATATATCGATCAGTCTGTGTAACCTAATATGTTGTGTTGTATTACCGATTGTCTAAAAATAAGTTGGATTTGTTGTGTTAGAGAGTGTGAACTGAAATATATCGAGTTTTAAGTTTGATTATCTTTATTTATGTATTGTTTAAATAATTATCAATGATGTTTTAATAAATGGTTGAAAATAGATTCATCTTTAAATAAAGTTTTTCTGTATCTTTAAAGAAAATGAGTGCATCTATTGACATGTGTGTTGAAACATGTTTTAGTTCAAAAAAACGTTTTAAAGTTGTGGTTCTTTTGAGGAAATTCAGTGATATTTCAATCTATTTGGAGCCGTATATTTATTGGTTTTGATCCTATTTAGTGATAATATTTTCCTTAAGTACTATAAGTCATTAATCTTCTTAATAACATGTTAAAAAAAAATAACATACATTTTTTTTTACCAATGTTACATGTAATATACAAAATTTATTTATTGTTATTACACAAACTTATCCACCTCAATTTCCGAATAGTCTTTCTTTTTTTGAGATATGGAGTTTGATTTCTGAGAGAGATTCAAGGACTTCAATTTGAGAGATGGAGCTCGATTCTTTTAGGAGATGTTTCTTCTTCTAAGAGACGGAGTTTGATTGTTTTGAGAGTTTGAGTTCGACTTTGAGAGATGGAGTTTGATTCTTTTCTATGCTAAGTATTAAAATTTTGCATGAAGCCTTTTTAATTTATGAACCAAGTGTTGTAAAATTTGAGGGGGTTTAAGCCATATTTGATGTAGAAAGTGTGTGTTTAGTTTCTTTAAATGTTTTAACAGCTTAATATAAATGGTTGATTCCGTTTGTACTGTAGATTTTGGTTAAATTTTTTGAAGATTAAAGGATATGAACAATTGCATATCATCAAACCACACATCATTGGTGCTGAAATTAGGGGATTCTCAGGAGAAGTTAACTTATAAATTTAAGTTAGTTGATGTTAGAGATCATTTATTGGAATTAGACTTTGTTTTGACTCAAGATTGGATCATGATTTCGTGCGAGTTTTGAATTTTGATTTGATTTTTATGCAAAGGAATGATTCCACCTCCTGGTAAGTTATGATGATAAAGACAAACTTGTCTATAAACATACGAGAAAAGTGAACAAAAGGGGTTGTTGATGGTTGTTTGTTTTTTGTTTTAGTCGTAACAATAATATAATATAAGTATAATAATCATAATCATCGCTAATAAATGAAAATAATTTTGCTACATGTCATTCTCTCATTAATTTGGATACGTGTTAATTTTTGGTATTTTTTGATTAAATGTTTTTTCTATTTATCATTTTCTCATTTTTTTTTTATCTTTTTTAATTAACAATCATATTTATATCTCAATTAATAAATATCTTAATTGAAAATAACCAATAAATTACAATATTAATACTTATATAATATTTAATATGTTTCCTTTTAAATTCAAATTTTAAATTTTAATTTTCAAATCTAAAATTTCAAATTTAAATAAATTTTTATTTAAACTTTCATTTTTAATTTTTTGTTTTATCAAACCCGTATAACGGGTTTCACACCTGATAATTTAAAACTTATGAAAATATATAATAAAATAGAAAAAACTATGTGGACGTAATGTCAACATCTTCGTTACTCTCTTTTGAAAAAAAAAACATCTTCTTTACTAAAACAACATATATCATATCACGAAAACAAACATGTTTTGTAAATAAAATGACATATATAATACCAAATAAACGAGGTGATTAGATGACCCTTTGTATCCCATAAAATGGTTTTGTTGATCCTTTGTATCTCATTAATACCATCTGCTTTTTTGGAACCGACAAATATCATTAAAAGACCACCAACCTAGCAAGGCGCTAGGAGGGTCAAAGAGTACAAAAAAGATGAAAATAATAAAAAATTACATGCAAGTAAAAGGACTGATACACCATTCAATCCATTGTAAATTACAATGTTCTATCCTATATTTCATCCATAGAAACACTGTGGATTTTACCAAGTCAGCCACTTTGGCGGGGGAAGTTCTTGTTTTTTTGAACACCCAATCATACCTTGCCTTCCAAAGAAGCCATGACGTCCCGTAACAAATACTAATTAAAGTTCTCTTTTTCTTTTCACATGTTCCCCACTGCGTTGTGAATGTCAACAGCTCCTCAACCGATTCGGAATGTGTATTAGGGAGGTCACACTAGCTAAACACCCATTCCCAAACCCTTACAACCATCGAGCATCGAAAAAGCACATGGGATGCGTCCTCTTCTGAATTCTCGCAATATGAACATATGGGGGAGGTGAGCTGGATACCTCGTTTGAGGAGAGCGCATGCAGTTGGGATTCTTTCCAGTTTTGCCCTCCACATAAAGCAGGTTACCTTCAGTGGGATTTCATGTATCCACTTTAATGTAGTCTCTTCCGTAGGCAGGTTCCATTGATCAATTTGTATTCTAAGTCTGTCAACATGGAATACCCTGTCACTAGCTAGTGTACACACCCACTTATCATTGCTCTGCACAGTTTGGAAATCTCTAATTCTGGAAGCAAGCAGGTTAATCTCACTAACCATCTCTGGAGTTCTTGGTGCTGATTTCCATTCCCAGTTAATGATTCCATTCTGGAGACGATCACTGATTTTACAGTGTTTGTAGCATTCCAATTTGTATGCTTCTGGGAAAGATGTCTTTAGGGTCGAATCACCAGTCCATCTATCAAGCCAAAACATGGTCTCTTCTCCAGATCCAATTTTTTTCACCATTATATCTTCCATGTCAATACCAAACAGTTTCAGTTCATCTTGTACTCCAGCAATCCGGTTCCAAATTCCAGGTAATGCTTTTTTTTGGATATATGTTGTGCGGACTTATTATAGAGGTTATGGATACCCTTAATAACCGTACACCATAATCCTGAGCTATCTACTTTCAACCGCGAAATCCACTTTGTGATTAGTGAGAGGTTGATCGCCTTGAGTGATCCCAGCCCTTGTGACATCCCCAAAATCACAGCCAGAAAAGACCGATTTTTGTTTATGCTTTATGAAAATCAGAGTACTTCATTTTATAAAAAGGTTGCGGAATTTGTTCCCAGAAAAAAAAATACGTTATTAAAACATTTTCGAGGAAACGTATTTATTTCATTTTAAAACGTTTGGGATGTCATCGTTAATACCGAAACATAAGCATAAACAGAACTTACAATGATTTACACTAGTGATCTACATCTCTTTAAATCTCTCAGTATAATGTCACTTCACTTTGTCACCTGTGATATACATAAACTGAGTGGGTCAGGTTGGGAAACCTGGTGAGTACATAGGGTTTTCAACCCACAATATTATTATGTTTAAACAATCAAACAATCAACCCAATTACCCATCCCCATTATCTTCTTTAGTCTTAAGGATCTACCCTAAGAATCAGCTATTCCTCGTTTATTTATTCCTAAGGATCATCCTAAGGAATCGACATGAAGTCCATTATTACCAAGGCTTATAGAATATATCTGGTGAACACGTAGTCCGAAACATCTGGTAAACACTTAGTTCAAAAGTAACTAGTGAACACACTTCGTTCAAAATACCTAGTGAACACACTCAGTTCAAAGATACGTAGTGAACACACTCAGTTCAAAATACCTAATGAGCACCTAGTTCAAAAATACCTACATGTTACGAAACTGCTATCGTTCCACTGGACTGTCTAGTATCGTCCATAGTTGTCATCTATACTCCACTAGATGACTGGATCACTAACAACACTGATGTCTTCCATCGTGTTATCACAAAACAACTATTTCATCTACCCATGTTTTTCCCAACACGTTTTGTAGATATAAAATACGTATACAGTTTAAATCATTTAAAACATGTATAAAAATCTTTCACTCAGCATAGACAGCAAGTATTCAGACAATATGTACACATAACACGTAATTTATATTAAAATACTTCATATCTATGTGTAAGATGAAATGGATTATGCACTCACAACACGTAAATTATATATCTATGTGTAAGATGAAAGGGACCATGCACTCACAACACGTAAATTATATAATAAATACTTCATATCTATGTGTAAGATGAAAGGGACCATGCACTCACCTGAAAGGTGGTGACTCAGCACTCGGACAGCGCTTCGATACTCTCAAAGCAATTTCCTTTGATAAAACCTTGTATCAATACCACTAGGGTTTAGTCTAACGATAACCGTGACTAATTAATAGTCTAGCTATTATTATTATTATATAAGTGTTAAGTAACACTCAATACAACTCATAATAATAGTCCAAATACTTATTATAAGTTCCTAATAAAGTTAATATATTAAAACATAAGCTATACTAAAGATAGGGTAGGCATAGCTCACTTACAGCGGGTTTTCTCGAAAACCGGGCTTCGCTGGAGCAGCGTTTCCGAGCCGAAAGACTCTTTTATTGGAGCCTTCGGGTGCTCCGGGGCTTCCGCCTCGTGCTAGGGAGTTACCCTAGACTTTGGGGGGTTAAGGAGGCTTAGAGAGAAGTTCTAGAGAGAGAGGGAAGTTATGGGAGGTGTGAGGAATGAATGGAGGCCTCACCACTTATTTATAGGGCTGGAGGAAGGTTCACGTCATGAATTTTTAATATTCACGTCGTGAGCCAGGCTGGCTACAGCCAGGCACAGCCTGGTGCTGACACGTGGCCTCGCACACCGGGTGAAATCAGCCAATTTTCAAAAATTCATAACTTTCGTATACGAGCTCCATTTTCGACGTTCTTTATATCCACGCGTAGGTAAAATCAAGATCTACAACTTTCGTTTAGACTCCGTCGGCTAATTCTCGACCGATCTCAAATTTAACAGTAGGAGGCGTTTAGACTGTTAAATGACCGCGAAGAATTCATAACTCCTTCATACGGACTCCGTTTTCGTCTGTATTTTTACCGTTGAGTTCCTATTAATGAGATATTCAACTCTCATTTAGGTCGCGTAAGCCAAAAACCGCTCGAACTAAAATTCGAGTTTCGGGCTGTACACTACTAAGCCGAATCTTAGAAAAATCATAACTTCCTCATACGAAGTCAGATTTGGGCGTTCTTTTTATCGATGCTCTTAGTTTAACATATTCTACGAATTTCGTTTAGATTGCTAAGGATAAATCTCGCTCTATCATAAATTCACTATTTACGCTTCCCGGTATCGTGCCGGTTTTGCCGTAAAACTTCGACGGGCCATAACTTCTTCGTTATAACTCAGATTTCGGCGTTCTTTATATGTACGGAAACCTTGTGACATATTCCACAACTTGGTTAAGATTATTTATTCTAAATAGTCTTTGGTCAAAAAGTCGTTTTCGACCCCTATTGTCTTTAAATTGACTAGCTCGGATCTACGGGCGTTACAGCCCTAGACCACCAATCTCTTTAGGAGCAACCACCGACTTCCATATCACCCAACTAATCTTCTTTTGTTCCTCTGCACCTCCTCATAGGAATCTTCTTCTTATGCTTTCCAGTTTCTTGATAACACCTGTATGAGCAACAAACATTGAGAAATAAAAAATAGGAAGGCTACCAAGAACAGCCTTCGCAAGAGTTAGTCGACCCCCGAGAGATAGGGTCTTAGACTTCTAAAGGTTCAATCGGGATTGGAATCTTTCTATCACTGGCGCCCAATGTCTTTTGTATTTCATATACGCCCCAACGGGAACCCCGAGATAGGTGAATGGTAAGTCGGATGTCTGACACCCTAGCGGTTCCACTAAATTTGATACCTCCAGTTTATCCACCCCAATTCCAAATATCCTTGACTTATTGAAATTCACTTTTAGCCCCGATGATACATGAAAGCAACGAAGAATGCTAGCAAGGTTATTTATGTTTTCCTCTCTCCACTCACCGACAAAGAGGGCATCATCTGCATAGAACAGGTGAGAGATGGTAAGGTTACTATTGGGAATTCTCATTCCTGTGAAAATACCTTTTGCAAATGCCTCCTTCATTACTATATTCAACCCGTTCATCGCAATTAAGAAAAGGAAGGGGGACAATGGGTCACCTTGCCTTATCCCACACCCCATTCCAAATTCCCTAGTCGGCGATCCGTTAACTAAAATCGACAATGTTGCAGATTTCAAACAACTCTGTATCCATCCCCTCCATCTTTCGCCAAAATCTAATTGTCTTTGAACATGGTCAAGATACTCCAAATTGACCGAATCGAATGCTTTATTAAAGTCTACCTTAAAAAGTAGCATCTTTTCTTTCGATTTTTTTGCCCAAGAATACATTTCATTGATTATTAAGGGCCCTTCAAGAATGTTTCGTCCCTAAATGAATGCCGATTGAACATTACCAATACAATCACCAATGACCCTTTTCAGCCTAATAGATAAGATTTTTGAAATTATTTTATACATGCTACTGATGAGACTTATTGGTTTATAATCCCCAATTGTGAGCGGGTCCTTTTTCTTTGGGACAAGGGTGATAATGAAGCATTACAGCCCATGTTAATGACTCCATAACTTTCAAAGTATCTAACTCCGTTCACTATATCATGCTTCATTAACTCCCAATTCCTTTTAATGAACTTGAAAGAGAAGCCATCCGGTCCAGGACTTTTTTCACTCCCACATGACCAAATTGCCTCTTTTATCTCCTCAACTGTGAATGAGGCTTCAAGACTTGAGCTTGACGATGGGTCGAAGGCCGAAAACCTGGAACTAGAGAACTTAGGTTTGGTTGGCCACCTTTCTCGGAATTTTTCTTGATACAAACTAAAGATCTCAACTTTAATTATTTCGGGGTTTATGATCCATTGATTGTCGATAAGCAGTCCAACAATTCTGTTCTTTCTTTTTTATTATTGACAAAGCCATGGAAGAAGGAAGAGTTCTTATCCCCATCGATTACCCACTTATTTTTTCCCGTTGTTTGATGTCGTAGGTCATGAACCTCTCCATTTCCGCTAATTTTTGGAATCCTACCCTCCTTTCATTCATCTCTTCTTCTGAAAGCAGTTGTTTTTCTGCTGGGAGGTCGATCTCATGTATTCTTCTTTTTAAATCCTGCATTTCTTTCACCTCCTTAGGATGATCTGTGGCCCGCAAATCCCTTATCCTATTTTTTAGAAATTTCAGTTTGACCATCATATACATATCCGGAGCACCGTAGCCTTTAAAATCCCTCCAAGCATTTTTGACAACCTCTTCAAATCCTTCTCGTTCGAGCCAGGAATTGAACTATCGAAACGGGGGTTTTCCAAAGTCCAAGAAGGATGTTTGAAGGATTATCGGGCAATGGTGTGATAGCTCCCTAGGAAGGGCAGTGATTGAAGTAAATGGAAAGATACTGATAAAGTTATTGCATACCAGAAATCTATCGAGTTTGCTAAGTTTGTTGTGTGTGTTACAGTAAAAGGTGTATCTACTCCCCCCATTCTAATATCTTGCAGACCTACTTCTGAGATGAAGTTGTTGAAATAAAACGCAGAGGAAGCACATAATTGTGAGTTAAATCACTCATTCTTTCTTCTAAATGTGTTGAAATCTCCAAACAAAATCCATGTTCCTTGTCTCTCCTTTCTAATATGTAGCAGCTCATCCCATAATCTTCTCTTTTCATCCAGGTCATGGGGACCATATATATATTTGCCAATATCGTGTTACCTTGAATCCCTTCCCAAGCACCAATTGTTATTAAGAAGCGGGTTGATTTTATAATTTTGTATACCTGAAAAATGTTTACATCCCAGATGCTCAACAGTCCACCCGTGACGATTGGATTGCCGAAAAACCAAACTCCTCTGAATCCCAGCACCCACGAACATTGATGGCTTCAGTGTTTTTCAGTTGAGTTTCTTGCAGCCCCAGGAATGAAATCCTATTTTGGACCTTAAGTCTTTTAACCCATCTGACTTTGTGAGCCTCACCGATCCCTTTTACATTCAAACTTAGGCAATTCATTGCAAATCGCAATGCTCACCTTCTTCTCCCATGGCTTCTCGAAGGATAGGGTCATTGGGGTTTATGTCAAATCCCAATTTTTTTCCTATCTCGGCTGTTTTTTCAATTTCAGATCGTTGGGGGGTTTTGGGGGTATCTATCTGTGATCTCCGACTGCTGTATAGGAGGGGTATTAAGGTCAAATTGATTTTCTTCGGTTGGAGTAGATGGGGACTCCGACAACGGGACAGTTTGTGGCATCGGATCAGCACCAATCAATTCAAACATTGGGCTAACACTGGGAGCTATATTTATCACTCTTCTCCTTTTCCCATTGGACCTACCTACTTTGAATGTGTGGGCTTCATTGCATGTAGTTGGGGATGGGAAAGGCCCAAAACAGCGGAGTGGTGGAAGTCCGATACTAAGCCCATCCTGTAATGACTTTGGGGTACTAGGGTTCGTCTGGCATGCATCATTCACATGACTAGGTTGCACCATCATACCATTGGGCGTTAGTTGCTTCGTATTCCGAGGTGTCGTTTCAATTCCCTCCCTCGATGCTTTCGTTAGAACCACCGCTTCGCAGTGAGGCTCTTCGACTTCCGTCTCCATCCTGGTAGGTTCACTCGCCAGAACCCTAGTTTTTCCCGGCTCTTGATCATCCAATTCATCGGTTTCCGGCCAAATCTCCCCTTTTTCCCTTTCATCGTTTTTTGCTGACGTTTCATCGTCTACGGCCATCTTACCTTTACCGTCTTCAAGAGGGTCGAATCTGAATGGGAACCAATCTTCGTTGAATTCGATGATGCCCAGTTTATAGACTTTTCCTTCAAACGCCGCGTGAATTTCATCGTTAATTTGTGTCCTTCTGGAAGTTATTAGTCCGATATTAGCATGGGATAGGTCCTTTCTGTGAGGAATGTATTCAAATGGTGCGATCGTCTTCCCAAATCCATCTATGATAATCCGAAAATTACACTGCCCTCATAGGTGTAGTGGGAGTCCTATAACTCTAACCCATGCAACACGTTGTTCATGAGAATCGACTTGGTCTCCCCACCTCACCCAATTTAGATATTCCTTACACTTATGCTCGTCAATCATGAATTCCTTAGCAGCTACGAAGTGATCGTGTTTTTTTAAACTTTGGTTTAAGAAGGAAAGTTGATGTACTAAGGGGATATAGTGTAATTTGTATATTTGAATTTGAATTTGTGTATCGATGGAGTTATTGATTAGGGACAATTAGATTGGTAATTTGTACTGTAAATAATCAAACTCCTTTAATAACCATACTCCATCATTCTACACATATGTAATAGGAGAACAAGTAGGTATACATGTTTCAATTATATTATTGTTTTTTTTCAAATTATTATTGCTTCATCTTTCTATACATAACGTGATGCATACTATTTTCATTTGATTATAGTTAAATGTTATTTTTCATTCAAGATCTATATTCAAGATCTATAAAATCATAGAAAATTATCCATATTTACTTGGAATTAAATGGAAAATATGAAGATTAATTACATCATGGATGTGTATAGAATACATACATGATTTAAAAGTTAAATTTGTACTTGTATAACTCTGTAGCATTTCTTTGTTTATTTGTAATTTTTTACACAACGATCATACTATTATGTTTTATGGTGTCGCTTGTATTTAGTCTATCAAATTTTAATTTTTATTTGTATTTTCTAATTATATTGTAATAAGTTAATTATATATTTAAAGATTATATACTTAAAGAAAATAACATCTATTAATTCGTCATAATAAATATGGTCCAATTTTTTTTTGGTGTTTTCTAACTTTACAAAAGTAACCTAGAAGTATGACATGTGTGCGATTCAATGGGTGAGTTAACCTACAAGGTGCAAGAAAGCTAATTGAGAGGATATTCATAAAAGTCAATATATTTATTTTAGACCAAAATTATAAACTTATTGACAATACCTATATCTCTGCAAACTAATAAAAAATTTCAAATATTTGATTAATCATTATGATTTTCAATTATGAATAAGATTTTATTTTTTTAACTGTGGTTTCTACGAGTTTTAACCTAGTATAATCATAATCATAATCATCCATAACAAATGAAATTAATTTTGCCACATATCACTCTTTCATTAACTTGGACAAATGTTATTTCTTGGTATTTTTGATTAAATGTTTTTTCCATTTGTTATTTTCTTATTTTTTTTTTCTTAATTAACAATCATATTTACACTTCAATTAATAATTACCTTAATTGAAAATAACCAATAAATTATAATATTAATATTTATATAATATTTAATATGTTTCCTTTTAAATTTTAAATTTAAATAAAATTTCATTTTAACTTTCATATTTAATTTTTTGTTTTATCAAACCCGTATAACAGGTTTCACATCTAATAATTTAAAACTTTATGAAAATATATAACCAAATAGAAACAAACTATGTGGATGTAATGTCAACATCTTCGTTTACTCTCTTTTGAAAAAAACATATTCTTTACTAAAACAAACATGTTTTGTGAATAAAATGACATATATCATACCACAAAAACGAGGTGATTAGATGACCCTTTGTATCCCATAAAATGGTTTTGTTAGCATAGATTTTGACATTTTACTGATCTAGAATACATAAAAATAGAATACATAAAAATGGACCATTAACCAAATGAGATCAAAACCAATTTTTCGTTGCTCCACAACACCAACATTAACCCTATTTATAATATCTTATAATGTCTTACACTGGATTCATACGTCTCTCCATCATTTTCATGAGAAATGGATGAATATCTTTTATTGGATCCATACTATTTGGCTATTTTGTATTGTTATTAAATAAATTTTCAACATCATAACAATCAAATAATTTCATTAAATTACGTTAGAAATCATATGTCTCAATTTGTACATCACGTCTCAAAAATTTTATTTTGATTTTTTCCAAATAATATAATGTTTATACCGAAAAGTTTTATAAGTGCAGATGTTAGTTGTAAATAACTACTAATGGTCTAATGCAAGTGTCAATTTATTATAAGACTTAAATTATTTTGACATGTCATATGTAATTCAATCAATATGTGTCTTGAACAATAGAACAAAAAGTTAGATCGAATGTTTTTTCTTCGTAATCATGAAAGCAACATAGAGACCTGAGTTAAGTATTTTATTATATTATATATGCGTTTATTATATTTTATAAAGTCTAAGTGGGTTTTACATGGAATAATGAAATTAAAAATAAATAAAAAAAACGATAGACACCTACTGTTTAATGGAGTGATTAAAAAGCCCATCAACACAAAATAAAGCCTATGCACTGTTTAATTAATAATACTAATAGAGTAATAGTATATGATGATAAAAGAAATAATAAATATTAATAACATTATTTTATTATTATATAAGATAGAGGAGGGGCGAGTGGCGCCTATCTCATATATTATTTTAATGGACATAATAAAGGTCATAAAGGGCGCCGGAGGGTGAGGAGGCTGTCTAATATTTGCTCCCAATGTGCTTAATTTTATTTTATTTTTATTTTTTTTATTTTTCCTTAAAAGTTATATACATATAATAATTAAGTATTTTAGATTAATTTTGATTCTCTTAACCTTTTATTTTATTTTTCTTCATGTTAGATAATGAATATTTGACATTTTAAATCCTTAAAATGAAAGAGGCTATTTATAAGTATAGAAAACTTGAGTTGGAAAATCTATAACATGTACATTGCATTTTGGTTGGTTTTAAATTGATCATATTAAAGCTTCTTATCTCCATATATATATTCTAAATATAAAATGGTTTAGAAGTTTGTCTTAGGAATTAGATTATTACTATTATCAAATTCATTCAAAAGTTAAACTCCTAGTTTACTCACTAAGCTCCTGAATTCTAACATTACTATTTTGACTATCCATGTTGAATATTAATGAAGATTACTACATGATTAGTTTTTAGATATTTAAAAGAGTATGTAATTTTTGTACTTTAATTATTACTTTGATTCATTCTACAACGATGATTAGATATTTTGAAAGATAACGAAAATAATACAAAACAACAATTACACAATGATCCTATTTTCAATGGGCTTTAAGCCTATGATTCGTCCAAACATAAGCCCAACACCATAAAATGAGTTTACTACTTTACTATAAAAAAATAAGACCACTATGTTATTGTAACCCAAATCAGAGACAAGTCCAATTAGAATTATTAGATCAAATATAATTAGAGGCATAAAAATTCCTAGATAGGCCCAAACAACAAACTAGCCCCAAACTTAGCTAATAATTTACTTCTCGGTTTCAAAATTATAATCTATTTTTTCTTTTTGGTTTGTTCTAAATAATAGTTCACTTCTAAAAATAAATAGCAGTTTTACCAAAATACTCTTCATTATTACTTAACCAACTAAGCATTTAATGGAACATTAAATGCAAAGTAAGGACAAAACTGTAATTTTATTTTATACAGTTATTGTTAATTAATGTTTCCTTAATCTGTGTGTTTTCTATCTGTGGACAATAATTTTGGAACGGAGGAAGTATTAATTATCAACACAGTTTAAATATCTAAAAATCAGTTTAACATTATAATAGTACTCTATCTATCAACATGAATTTTTAAATATCACTTTCTATGAATGAAATTAGATGTTAGATTAGAAGTAGATTTCATTTACCAGTTAAAAAAAGAAAAACTAGTAACATGAATTTTTCGATTTAAATAACCCATATTAAAGTCATAATATAGCAATCTACACCCATAGATCATAAATCCTCAAATTTACCTTATATAAATTTCTATCTCAATTTTCCGTTCAAAAAAGTAGGGTGTATATGGGACGGTTTGGTTCGGTTTTCAGCCAAAACCGAACCATAACCATTATAAATAGTTAATGCATTTTGATATGGGATAATGTCATAAAAAACCTTAAGTTTGACAGAAAATGTCGGTTTTACCCTTCGACAGATTTTTGGTTCATTTATACCGCAAACTTGACATTTTTTTGTCGGTTTTGCCCTTGTTACCTGCAATAGCAGGTTTTCAGGTTACTATGAATTATTTTTTGCGAAAAAACCTTTAAGTTTACAAATATTTTGCAAAAAAACCCTTAAGATTATAAACATATAAAATATAAATATATATTCAAAATTTTATAAAACTAAATAGTTTTCTTAGAAACATATTTTTAGCTTTATGTACGGTAAATTTTATATTTGTTCGATATAAAGTTTGTATATTTAAATTTTAAAAAAGTTACCAAGTTTTATCAAAATTTAAATATTTATTAAATAATACTTAAACTTTTCAAAGTAACATTAGCTAATAATAATATGACATTAGTGATATTCAATTATTCTTTTTAAAACAAAAATAAAAATATTTTATATGTTTAAAAGGTTTGAATTTCATAAATAATAAACTATCATATTTTATATAAAAATAAATATATTTATACCATAAATTAGACAAATATATTTATATTTTATATGTTTAAAATGTTTATATTTATTTTTGATGTTTAAAATGATTATGATATTTTTATAAAAAAATATGATAATATTATTATGTATTAAAACATATAAAAAATACGATATATTAATATTTCTGAAATACAAACCTTTTAAACATATAAAATATTTTTATTTACCTTTTAAAAAAATTAATTGAATGTACATGATACCATATTATTCATATTAACTATTTTAGCATAATTACTTATTAACTAACAAATGTTTTTTAATTTTGTTTTGAAAAGTTGAAGTATTAATTAAGATATATATATTCAAATTTTGTTAAAACTAGGTAAGTTTTTTAAAATTTAAATATAAAAAGTTTACATCAAACAAATATAAAAGTTACCGTATGTAAAGTTAAAAATATGTTTCAGTAGAAAACCATTTAGTATCAAATTTTGAATATATATTTATATTTTATATATTTATAATCTTAAGGGTTTTTTTTGCAAAAAATTTGTAAACTTAAGGGTTTTTTTGCAAAAAAATAATTCATAATAACCTGGAAACCTGCTATTGCAGGTAACAAGGGCAAAACCAACAAAAAATGACAAATTTG